AATCCCAATAAAATACATTTATGTTTTTGATTGTAACATGACAAAATGTGGAAAATTTCAAGGGATATGAATACTTTTTTTAAGGAACTGGGGTTATGAAAATCAATGCACTTCTAATACAAAGATAGTAGTAGTAATATAAATGTAGTAGTATATCCCAGGACTAGGCATGAACATCTAAGGATTAGTTAATATTCACATACAGTAGGAGTTGCTGTTCATTAATCACAATGAATGAATAAATGTCCATGAGGTTTCACCATTATAACTTTTCCCAGTGGCATTATAGCCTATATAGCATCATATCTACAGGCAGAAATGTGTAAGTATGGCTGCCCGTGTATATGACAAAGTGAGTGCTGGAGTAAGTTCAAAACAGTTCATGAGTAGATAGAAAAAGCAGATAAATAGACACAGTTTTACCAGAGTCCTGAGGCAGGGAATGCACTGCGGGATAGTTAAGTGTCCATCCTGATCCATAAAGTGTGCGATGCACTGCAGAATACCATCATATTTATTTATTTCAGGTACTTATATATGTCATTTTATGCAGCGCTTTACACATATATATTGAATATTCACATCAGTCCCTAACCCTCAAGGGGGCGTACAGTCTAAGGTCCCTAACTTACATTCATACATACACATACTAGGGCCAATTTAGACAGGATCCAATTAACCTACCAGCATGTTTTTGGAGTGTGGGAGAAAACCAGAGCACCCGCAGGAAATCCACGCAAGCACAGGGAGAACATGCAAACTCCATGCAGGAGGCGCCATGGTCGGGAATCAAACCCATGACCCATTTACTGCAAGGCAAACGTGCTAACCTCTAAGCCACTGTGCTGCCTCGTATCAACAGTTAAGTGTCTCTGTCTCAGGCTCCTGTGTCCAGTGAACTACAAAAAATATCTTGGGTTCAATCGTAATACATAGCTCTGGCTTCCAGACAAGGAAATACTAAGCATCATTGGGTGGATATTTGTTACACATTTTAGAGTTTCATGTTGTGGAAATATAATTTTTCTTTTCTGTTTTGTATCTATACATGATTTTAATATAAACATTGAAGGTTTGACCTTTGAATCTGAAATTGGCCCAGGTCTCTACTTTTTTTTTACTGTTACAAAAAATTAACTTTCTTCAGCTTAAAGTAGAACTAAAAGCAAAACTTTTTTTTCCATTTTGGATAGTGTAAGGGAGGGTTATAACCCCTGTCAGCTTTATTTTTGTCACTAATATGGTGGGTGCATTAGTTTTCTGATTTTTTTCCTTTATTTTCACCTGGCGATCTGGCTAGTAACACACTTTTGCACAATTTAAGAATAATATTTCCATCCCTTTTAAAATGTTTAATATTTTCTATTTCATACATTTCCAGTGATGCAATATTTCTGTTGTTACATTCATTAAAAAGTATAACAGCACTTGTCTGATTTTGAGTTTGTTTTTAGTGATACCGTACAAGTGATTGCTTAACAGTTTCTCAATCTCCATGTAGGTACATTCTGTACTTGATTACTCCATGTAGATACACATATACATTCTGTACTTCAAAGTCCTTACAAGTAATGACATATACAGTGTATCTAGCTGACTGGCCTGAAGGGAAACATATCTTTCCCAATTCAGCATTGCTACTTTTCTGTGTGTGTGTGTGTATATATATATATATATATATATATATATATATATATATATATATACACAGTATCTCACAGAAGTGAGTCCACCCCTCACATTTTTGTAAATATTCTGTTCTATCATTTCATGTGACAACACTGAAGAAATGACACTTTGCTACAATGTAAAGTAGTGAGTGTACAGCTTGTATAACAGTGTAAATTTGCTGTCCCCTCAAAATAACTCAACACACAGCCATTAATGTCTAAACCGCTGGCAACAAAAGTGAGTACACCCCTAAATGTAAATGTCCAAACTGGGCTCAGTTAGCCATTTTCCCTCCCTGGTGTCATGTGACTCGTTAGTGTTACAAGGTCTCAGGTGTGAATGGGGAGCAGGAGTGTAAATTTGGTGTTATCGCTCTCACTCTCTCATACTGTTCACTGGAAGTTCAACATGGCACCTCATGGCAAAGAACTCTCTGAGGATCTGAAAAAAAGAATTGTTGCTCTACATAAAGATGGCCTAGGCTATAAGAAGATTGCCAAGACCCTGAAACTGAGCTGTAGCACGGTGACCAAAACTGAGCTGTAGCACGGTGACCAAGACCATACAACGGTTTAACAGGACAGGTTCCACTCAGAACAGGCTTCGCCATGGTTGACCAAAGAAGTTGAGTAAAACGTGCTCAGCGTAATATCCAGAGGTTGTCTTTGGGAAATAGATGTATGAGTGCTGCCAACATTGCTGCAGATGATGAAGGGGTGGGGGGGTCAGCCTGTCAGTGCTCAGACCATACGCTGCACACTGCATCAAATTGGTCTGCATGGCTGTCATCCCAGAAGGAAGCCTCCTCTAAAGTTGATGCACAAGAAAGCCCGCAAACAGTTTGCTGAAGACAAGCAGACTAAGGACATGGATTACTGGAACCATATCCTGTGGTCTGATGACACCAAGATAAACGTATTTGGTTCAGATGGTGTCAAGCGTGTGTGGCGGCAACCAGGTGAGGAGTACAAAGACAAGTGTGTCTTGCCTACAGTCAAGCATGGCAGTGGGAGTCTCATGGTCTGGGGCAGCATGAGTGCTGCCGGCACTGGGGAGCTACAATTCATAGAGGGAACCATGAATGCCAACATGTACTGTAACATACTGAAGAAGAGCATGATCCCCTCCCTTCAGAGACTGGGCCACAGGGCAGTATTCCAACATGGTAACAACCCCAAACACACCTCCAAGACGACCACTGCCTTGCTAAAGAAGCTGAAGGTAAAGATGATGGACTGGCCAAGCATGTCTCCAGACCTAAATCCTATTGACCATCTGTGGGGCATCCTCAAATGGAAGGTGGATGAGCGAAAGTTCTCTAACATCTGCCAGCTCCGTAATGTCGTCATGGGGGAGTGGAAGAGGACTCCAGTGGCAACCTGTGAAGCTCTGGTGAACTCCATGCCCAAGAGGGTTAAGGCAGTGCTGGAAAATAATGGTGGCCACACAAAATATTGACACTTTGGGCCCACTTTGGACATTTTCACTTAGGGGTGTACTCACTTTTGTTGCCAGCAGTTTAGACATTAATGGCTGTGTACTGGGGCGGACTGACAACTCAAGGAGCCCCCAGGCATTAGGGGATCATGGGGCCCCTATGTCCTTGCCCAAACTCAAAAAAGCCTATGAAAAAGGTACCAGGGGCATCTCATGGGGCCCCCTACTGACCCCGGGACCTCGGGCAGTGTCCGAGGGTCCCAAATGGTCAGTCCGCCCCTGGCTGTGTGTTGAGTTATTTTGAGGGGACAGCAAATTTACACTGTTATGCAAGCTGTACACTCACTACTTTACATTGTAGCAAAGTGTCATTTCTTCGTTGTTGTCACATGAAAAGATAAAATCAAATATTTACAAAAATGTGAGGGATGTACTCACTTCTGTGAGATACGTGTGTATATATATATATATATATATATATATATATATATATACATACAGTGAAGGAAATAAGTATTTGATCCCCTGCTGATTTTGAATGTTTGCCCACTCACAAAGAAATGATCAGTCTAAAAATCGAATGGTAGGTGTATTGTAACACTGAGAGACAGCATAGCAACACAAAATTCAAAAGAAATCATGTCTAACAAATTATGCAATGATTTGCATGTTCATGAAGGAAATAAGTATTTGATCCCCTATCATTCGGCAGGATTTCTGGCTACCAGGTGTCCTTCATACAGGTAACAAGCTGAGATTAGAAGCAGTCGCTTAAAGGGAGTGCTGCTAATCTCATTTATTACCTGTATAAAAGACATCTGTCCACAGGAACAATCAAACAATCAGATTCCAAACTCTCCACCATGGCAAAGACCAAAGAGCTGTCTAAGGATGTCAGGGACAAGATTGTAGACCTACACAAGGCTGGACTGGACTACCAAACTATCGGCAAGCAGCTTTATGAGAAGGTGACAACAGTTGGTGCATTCATTCGCAAATGGAAGAAACACAAAACAACTGTCAGTCTCTCCAGGTCTGGTGCACCATGCAAGATCTCACCTCGTGGAGTGTCAATGATCATGAGAACAGTGAGGAATCATTCCAGAACTGCACGTGAGGATCTAGTCAATGATCTTCAGGCAGCTGGTACCACAGTCGCCAAGAAAACAATTGGTAACACACTACGCTGACAAGAATTGAAATCCTGCAGTGCCTGCAAGGTCCCTCTGCTCAAGAAAGCATATGTCCCGACCCGTCTGAAGTTTGCTACTGAACACCTGAATGATGCATAGGAGGACTGGTTGAAAGTGTTGTGGTCAGATGAGACCAAAATCGAGCTCTTTGGCATCTACTCAACTCGCCGTGTTTGGAGGAGGAGGAATGCTGCCTATGACCCCAAGAACACCATCCCAACAGTCAAACATGGTGGTGGAAACATTCTCCTTTGGGAGTGTTTTTCTGCTAAGGGGTCAGGACAACTGCACTGCATCAAAGGGACGATGGACGGGGCAATGTACTGTCAAATCTTGGGTGAAAACCTTCTTCCCTCAGCCAAGGCATTGAAAACGGGTCGTGAATGGGTGTTCCAGCATGACAATGACCCAAAACACACAGCCAAGGCAACAAACGAGTGGCTCAAGAAGCACATTAAGGTCCTGGAGTGGCCTAGTCAGTCTCCAGACCTTAATCCGATTGAAAATCTGTGGAGGGAGCTGAAAGTTCGAGTTGCCAAACGTCAGCCACAAAACCTTAACCACCCTGGCGGTATTCCCGAGTGTAGCCCGGGGTAAAGTTTCAGTACCAAAAGCGGTAACCCCGAGCTACACTTGGGCTTACCATGTGGCGTTGCTCAGGGATTCCCTGCAGCACTTACCTTGTCCTTCGCTCCCGAGATGTCCCCCCTGCAGCGTCCCCGGCCATCTCCTCCGGCCGATGCCGGCATCCGGCTTCCGTGTTCTGGTCCCTGCAAGCGTCGGAACATATGGGACGTACGGGGGTCGGAACCGGCGGCAAATTTGAAAATTTAAAAAAATTACATTTTCTAATAAACTAAAATTACATAGTAAAACATTACTGTTTCAAAGCATTTCACATATATTTTGTCCCTACTGCTTTGTCCTGTGCCCTGCTTGCATTTTTACTGTTCTTTCTGCCTGGAAACTTAGAAATGTCCATGGCATCCAAAAAGCGTCCCTTTATGTCAAAAGCGGTTTTAGACCAGCTAGAGAACAGCGATAGTAAATCAGAACTACTTGCAGAATTGAGTGATAATGATTTATGGGGAAATTCGTCATCAGACACTGAAAACGATTCTGCGACTGAGCTCAGTGATGTGCAAACTTGGCGCTATATATTTCAAATTTCAGGGTTTTTGGTTTGATTATATTATTGAATTAAATTTATTATATTATTATTTTTTATGATTATTTATTAAATTATAATTTATGATTTCGTGTTTCAAATTTTATCATACCCGGGATGTTTACTAGACTCTTGTTCGGACAGATTTCAGTGAGTTATTCTTAAAAATTACAGGCCTACAATAAAAAAACTACATATTTCCATGCAAAAAAAGTACCGCTTTCAGCACAGAAATATAGACATAATCAGACCGCTAGGGAGGTTAATGACTTGGAGAGGATCTGCCAAGAGGAGTGGGCCAAAATCCCTCCTGAGATGTGTGCAAACCTGGTGGCCAACTACAGGAAACGTTTGACCTCTGTGATTGCCAACAAGGGATTTGCCACCAAGTACTAAGTCATGTTTTGTGAAGGGGATCAAATACTTATTTCCCTCATGAACATGCAAATCAGTGCATCATTTGTTAGACATGCATTTCTTTTGAATTCTTTGTTGCTATCCTGTCTCTCAGTGTTACAATACACCTACCATTCGAGGTTTAGACTGATCATTTCTTTGTGAGTGGGCAAACCTTCAAAATCAGCAGGGGATCAAATACTTATTTCCTTCACTGTATATATATATATATATATATATATATATATATATATATATATTTTACATACATACATACACACAAACAGACTTGGCCAAAAATATTGGCATCCCTGCATTTCTGTCAGATAATGCACCACTTCGCCCATACAATTGTTGCAATTACAAATGCTTAGGCATTCACATGTTTATTTCTTTTGTTTGTATTGTATGATACAAAAAAGTGGAGAAACAAAAAGCCAAATCTGACACATTCCACACAAAACCCCAAAAATGGACTGGACAAAATTATTGGCACCCTCAAGTTAATATTTGGTAGAACACCCCGTGGAAAAAATTACTGAAATCAATTGCTTCCTGTAACCATCAATGAGTTTCTTACATCTCTCTACTGGAATTTTGGACCACTCTTCTTTCGCCAACTGCTCCAGGTCTCTCTGATTGGAAGGGTTCCTTTTCCCAACTGCTGTTTTGAGCTCACTCTACAGGATGCTATCTTTATCAAGCTGCCCAGCAAACTACAAATTAAGGTCAAAGTCATTCAAACATAACAAAAATGAATCCAAATTAAATTGTCTGTGCAAATAAACAGCAAATCATCTATATAGCATACACACCCTGAATAGTTTATTACTAGAGATGAGCGAATTATTCAAAATTCGGTTCGGCTGATTCGCCGAATTCGCCGCATAAATTCGATTCG